AAGCTACAAAATGCACCTATTTGCAAACACTTTCTGGCAAAAAAAGGTTTTTCGTGGTCATTGCTAGCCAATGCCAATAAAAATGCAGATAGCCCACTGATTGGTTTGCTTGCTAAAATCTACTCGTACTTCATCTGCTTCGTTCTTTTTTCAACTGCCGGTAATTGCAATTTAGTATGGAGAGTGGATTCCCCTGGAAGCTCTTTTATTCCCAAGTTAGAGAAGCTTTACTTTGCCCTAATTAGACCAACAATGACCGAAATAGCGTGAATTATAGCGTCACTCCCCCTTTACAGTCTAGCGTCTTACAAGATAGTTCCGAGCTATGGCTGGTCCATCGTGATGTATGCTCACAACGTATCAAGCCATCAACAAAATTTTTGCAGGTGATGATAGCAGTTCATTCATCATTTTCCTTTAAAATGATATATAGAGACATTGTTTTGCGTTTGATACATATTACCACAAAGTAAATAGTAAAAGGATCACCCGTTGGAATTGCTATTCCTGGAAACAAGGTCAGCATTTTTTAAAAATCGGGGAATATAGGTCAGCAGCGAAGGGGTTAACAGTTTTCAAATATCTGATTGTTCTTAATCGAGCTATTTCACACTATAATATAGCAATGCCAATGAAAATTTAATTTTTCACTTTAGCCCTTTTTTATTTGGTACCCCCTAAGAAAGAATTTTCAATTCTAAGAATTATGCTTCTTGAATTTTAAGAATCGGTTCATAAATAAAAAAAGTTATGGGGTTGTAAAGGTCGGCAAAATATGGATGACCCACATATATAGGAAAATACTCCTAAAAAATGGACCACGCTGTAGCAGATTCTGTAAGAAAATCAACGATATCTCGTTAACTAATCGGAGTGTTAGAGAGACACTTGGGTGCACCCCTGGTGTAAAAGAAAAGCTGGAGGTTACAGGGGGCACGCCCTGTTTTAACCCATAATTTGCTATTTTACAGTTAGGTTTGAAATTTTCTTGAAAATAATTGATTTACGACTGTTTTAGTGGCTTTAACTTTATGTGTGATCTGCAGCAAACAGCAATGCAATTGGACCCTCGAAGCAGTGCATCTTTGTGCGAGAGTGAAAGTAAAAATTTACTGGGAAGATTTCTGTAACGAGCGACCACTATGAGACAGGGTAGAATGAGGGGTAGGGTTTGGGTAAGGGTTAGGGTTTTGTCTCCTCTTCTTTATTGTGTTTGTTGGGGTGGTCGCTTGTTACGGACGCCCTAACCCCCGGGGGCGGTGCCACTGACTGAAGTGTCTTTAGGCCATTCCAAAAGGGGGGACATTTCTCGTTCTAATGCACAGTAGAATTGTAAATGGGCTGATCCAACAATATTTTGCTCATTCATAACTGTGCCTGAACTACAGGGAACTGCTGCTTTTTTTTTCCTAATCCTTAAGTTGTCATTTTCCTCTGCTTCTTTTGTATGTTTGTCACACTCGTGCTTAATAGTCGAAGCAGACTTTGTGCTGTTGGAGCTGGAGAGGTGAGCAGAGTGTAAGTCTGATTCTTTGTAAGGACTTCTCTGTTGACGTTCACCCCTTGGCGCTCATATATGACCTTCTGCAGTTTTGCGAGCGCCGTAAAACCTCTAATAAAACAAAAAAACAAGCAAACGGAAGCCCTTCCGATAAAAAGAATAGGGATAGATCTAGATCTAGAGGCTAGTACTGGTATTAAAAAAAACCAAAGTAGGCCTTGCACCTTTGCCGTAAAATGTAAGCCTTTTAGATAAAGAGTTCCAACTCTGACAGAATTGCGATTAGTATTGGAGTACATTTGTCATTATTAAATTGGCCTAGGCCTTGATCCCTCGTTGATCAGATCAAGTCAAATTTTAATTTAGAATTTTGATATTCCTCCACAATCTCTCTCATAGAGACATCTTGTTCTATACTATACTTAGTCTTAGTGACTATAGGCCATCATCATTTCCTTTCTCACCCTGCACCATGTATAGACCACGGTCTTCCCACTTTTCTATACACCCAGCTTTGTCCGATGTCCTTCATTGTTCCTACTGATGCAGAAACTCCTCCGTCTCCCAAAATCGAAAAATAAAAAGCAGAGTTTGTCCGTGTTTCTGTAACTGACTGCTCTTACTGGATTGGGTAGTTGGCCCACTGCAAACTGACACTTTTCGGGTGACCAGACCACGTGCGTGGGTGGTTGGCGAGTGCTCTGGTGTGGTTTGTTTCTTCTTTACTCTCATACCTATTTTTTTCATCTCCCCTCCATCTTTTTTGTGTTTGTTACTCTCTTTTAACACCTCTAATCTTCAGCACTTATGACCTAATTGTGTTGCAAGTGTCATAAAACACTTACTAAAGCTAAAAAAAAACCCCAAAAAACCTCATGCACCTTTAGTCGCCTCTTAAGACAAGCAGTATCATGGCAGGTGTATTCTTTTCTCTCCCATAGTAAAACTATGCCCCCCCACCTACCCACCCACCTGTAGAGGCAAGGCCTATATTACTAACACTATGATGTTAACTTATATTTTTGCAAAGAGTTGGTTTTCTTGGTTCAAGCAACATTTAAGTTTTTTTTAAATTTAGCCCTCCGCTAAAATTGTAAAAACCATGATTAAAGTGAAATAGCAGAGCATCATGGCTGTAAATTATAAAATGAAGAGGTGTGCACACAGTGTAATATCATGAAAACTAAGTCAGACTTGATTAAGTATTCCTTGAGGAACAATTTAATTACTCTGTTAAAAATGTTATTGTCATTGTGTACCATTGGTCCATTATTCCTTCTTCTCTGTTGTTTAGAAATCTTTTATGAAAATTCTGTATTTTTATTTTAGATTCTAACAATTTTTTTTGCACAGGATTAAGTTTGGTTTACATTAGATCTATATCTTTTTTAAAGATAAGGTTCTTGAACTTTTAAAAAATGACTCTTTTCAGGAAGCAATCAGAATGTGTTGGAATGGTAAAACCATGACAACTTGAGGTGTTTTGCTGGTAGAGGAATCATGGAGGAGCTGGAAGAAGCTCCCTCATCTTCCTCTAAGATGGACCAGCAAGACGTAACTGACACACAGAATGCTACTGATGGTAATGTACAAGTTAAATCTGTTCTATTCTTATGTTTATTATATTCTTGTTTTCCAACCCTTTTTATGGCGAAGAAATTTTTAAAAATAATTCTGTTTTCATTTATATGTTTTTGAAAGTACAGGATGTTTCTCTTAATTATAATTCGTTCTCTCATTCTCCTCCTGCCCCCACACCTGCTTTTTTTCATTCTGTTTCCATATAAAATGAAAATTGGCATGTTACTTTTTACTGTAAAACCTTTGACTGCCCTCCGTGCATGTAAAAAGCTGTAACATTATTGTCTTGTGTTTGTCGTCCATCTGTCTTTTTCCAAAGGATTTCATGAAATTGACTGAGGGGGGTGAGGAGGTTGCTAGCTCTGAAATGTGTTCCACTCATGCTAGTCACGGACTCCTTAATTACAACAATAGCCCACGCCTTTCGGAATAGAAGAGTGTTAATAGTAATGGATGGGGATGTTCTAGTCAGCAATATTTTTGATCATAAACCATGTTCTGTTTTGTTCACCAGATACTGTGGATGTCAGTTTACCAGAGCAGCTGCAGAAAATAACTCCTGCTGAGGAGTTTGTCTGTGTGCGGCATCGATGGAATACCAACGAGGCATGTTTTTGCTGTATCAGAAATTTTACTTTTGAATTTGTTTTCATTTCTTTAATTTTAGTTACAGAGAGTTTAGAGTCCAATTCAAGTTTTCTGGAAGGCCTTTAAACTAAACACCAGGACAGAGAGAAAATGAATGCGTCATGAAGTCTGTGATGAGACATAAATGATCTTTGCTTTGAATACATCTTATTGCTTCATAGACTGCAGTAATGTAAAAAAGAAAAGTTACGTCTTATAAAATTTGCTTGCAGAAATTCTTTTTGTTTCTACTTGGAATAATTCAGTTGCGTGTAGTATCATATTCTGAAAGTTGACATGATCTAGCTCAGTGTTCTCAAAGTGGGATGTCTGGAAAGGGGATTAGCTGCGTCAAAATCGATATTGACAGCAAGTTTTGGTAATGTATAATTGCTCATTTTGTCTTTCTCAGGAGATTGCTTCTATCCTTATAGCATTCGACCGTCACAAGGAATGGCTTGTCCTCCCTCAGAAGATTCGGTGAGTGAGTGTTTTCATGATTTGGCTTTTTTTTTGCATTGTTTTCCACACTCCGCTCTGGCAGTTGAATTTTAATTGTAGGGGGGGGTTCCCCGCCGAGCGCCTTATCACGACGGGGTCACGGGGGTCAGCTCTACCCATGTATTAACACAGTTTTGTGTTTTTTAAAAATCACATAGTGTATATTAGTTGTATGCAGGCTGCCACAGACACAGCATGATTCATGAACAAACGCAGTTACTTTCTCTTGTTTAATGGTAGAACAAGAGCTAACTCTGAATGTCTTTAGTTAAATAATGCCGATGTGCAGCTTTCTTCTCTTATAACTTGACGATAACAACATGCGCAGATTTAAGATTTCTCATGGTTAAAGACATGATATTATTAGTAGTCTTTTAAACACAGATTTTGGAGAGATCTGCCATGCCGTTTTTAAATAAACAATCATTTATTTATCAGTATGTAACTAAAATAGGACAAATTGGGTACTCTACAAACTCTTGTCTTGAACAAAAACTAAGGCACAGAAATTAACCATTCGAACTCAGAATAAATCTCAAGACATCGTGCTTTTAGTACATCCGCGTAATGGTTTGCCTTGTGAAATGGGGAACAAATTATATCGTTTCAAACGTAGACAAAAATGCGAACTTCATAACCGATACCGGCAAAGTCGCTTCAGGGGTCATGAACCCCGTGACCCCGAGCCAGGAAGCTCTGTCGGGCGGGCTGCTGAGTCATGGAAACTAAAGGTAAAAGAATCGGGGGAAAGGTGACGCCGTGTCCAGTTCAGAATCTAGTTCTGCTATCTGTTTTTCAATGTTTCATGCTCTCAAAAGACAGCCCATTCAGCATACCCTTCTGCACTCAAAAGATACAAAGATTATTATGAAATTACTGACTGAAAAGGGAGATTGCTAAGTACAGATATCTACCTTTATTACCATTATTTTTTAATTATTTTATTATTTATCTTCATTTCCCATTAGGTATTGTTATTGTATTATTTACCTTCATTTTTGTAATTAAAAAAAATAAAATTATTGACCTTCATTTCCATTTCAGGCCCCCCAGTGGCTCCATGCTTCTCTACAACAGGAAGGTTGTCTTCTACCGCAGAGATGGCTACTGCTGGAAGAAGCGACGGAACGGGAGCACCATTCGGGAAGATCACATGAAGCTCAAAGTTCAGGGGTTGGAGGTGAGGTCAAACTTGGCTTTTTTTATTTTCTTGTATAGCAAACAACACAAATGTATTTCTCAGGATCATACTGGCAATGACCTTTTAGGTTTGAGCTTCCAGTGTGATTTACTTCTTCCAAGTTATGTGCAGCTTGACTATTTTCCGTGCTCATTTTGTAGGACTTACAGTCTTTAGGAGTAACTGGCCCTTGCAGGTATTGGCTGTTTCTAACGCATTTTACCTCAGAGTAATGGGCTTTAAATCTAAAACAGAATCTGAAGGTTAAGCTGCATTCTGTTCAAAATATTGTTTTTAATTTTTATATCGGAAAAATTGTTTACTGTACAGCTGAATGAAAGAGACAGAGCATGCCAAAGGTAGACAAAGAGAAAATAGAGCAGGATTGAGGTTTATAGAAAGAATGCTGGACTTTGATAACACTGGTAGGCTAAAGTGATAGAAGATTTATCTATTTAAGTTTTCGTTCAAGCAATGAAATTATGTACGTTCCTTTATCACAGTGTATCTATGGCTCCTATGTGCACTCGGCCATTCTCCCAACATTTCACCGGAGATGCTACTGGCTTTTGCAGGTGAGGTCTATTGATTTTATTGTAATACAGTAATAAAACACTGTCCCTGTATTTTCTTGTTGTCGTGTCAGCGGTTGGAAATTTATGTTTTCTGCATTGCGAAATATTATTTTTAGCTGGCTGTGGCCATCCCTAGACTCAGAAAGTTTGATGAAAAAAAGTAGGGAAAGAGTGCAGATGGGTGATAAAGTACTTTTTAAAAAATCTTGTCACAGCTTTTGCAGAACCCCAGAAAAAAGTTTGATAGAATCAGGAAAGTAAGATGGAGATGGTGTTTAGATGAAGAATAAAGTAAATTTAATGTCGCAACCTTTGCAGGACCTCAGAAAAATTTGATATGATTAAAAGGAAGAGGCATGGAGAAGCGTCAAGATGGGTGAGAAGGCAGTCTTTTTTTTTCTTTTTTTTTTTAAGTTTGATTGAGGCAGATGAGAAATGGTGTCAAAATAAGTATGGGTTATTATACTGTAACTGTTTCGATCATGACCCTCTCAGAACCCAAACATCGTGTTGCTCCACTACCTGAATGTGCCGTACCCGGAGGCCGCGAAGCCGTCCATCCCATCCGTGTCTCAGGAGCTACGCCGCAAGGAGTGGACTAAAGAGGAGCTGGTGGACCAGCTGAGACCTATGTGTAAGTCACGTGGCTAGGCCCAAGGAACACTAAGAAAATTTCTACTCATTGTTGTACGGCTGCGAAGTATATGGTGTCGCTCAGGGGTGAAAAGAGATGAAAGGGAGAAAAGTTCCTTATTTGCATACTGGCAGCAGTGCCGTGAGTTGAAATGTACCAAGTATAGTATGAGTGTGTCCTGAGTATGGGAAGCACATATTAGGATTAAAGGCTCATCTTTTTTCTTTAATGGAGCCCTGTCCCTTTGACCAAAGCAAGTATTTTAAAAATATTTTTTTAGTTTGAAAGCAATTTTCGCATTCAATTGTGCCAACTTCCATTTCCCAAATGATACCAAACACAAAAATAAAAATAGTGGTAATGAGTCATAAACATCTTTGGAGAACCCAAGAAGTGTTGAAATGGGTCACATACATTTTTTGACAAGCACAGTATTATAAGGAAGTAGGGCTAATTATGTACCATGTCATTTTTGGGGGGTTGAGCTATAAATTAAATTGTTTCTCTGTCAAATCATTTTTCAGTGTCGCAGGCTGCACAGGGTATGGAGCATGGCTCGGAGGATGATCAAAAGGTATTTCTTTTCACACTGTGGGTTTATTTCCGTGTTATTATATGGTTTGATTTGTATGTGTACTTCTGCTTGACCATGTTTGTATGGGTACATTTGTTTTAGTTTGAGTATGTGTCTTTGTTTGTGTATGTGTGTAAATTTGAGTGGGTTTGTTGGTGGGTGCTCTAGTGTGGTTTGCTCCTTCTCACCTATCAAACAGCTATTGATTGTCCTGCTCTACAGTAGAATTTTATGGACATTGCCTGCTCCAGAGTTATTTGCTCGTCTTGATTGATTAGATATTTGTTCCAGTTTTATAACTAACCTTTACAATGTGTGTGATCATCCTTTGTGCAGGTGGAAAGTACTTTGGACGAGCTGATCCCAATGCTGATGCCGATGAACGAAGGTAACAAGTTCTCTGCTCCGAGCGGCAGCGGCTCCAAGCTGATGGCCTTGGTCCCGAACAAGGCGATGGCGGGTCAGAGTAACCTGCTAGTCAAACAAACGCTCCCTTCCAGCTCGGGCCTGACACCCACGGCTGTGACTTTGAAGCCTGTGGTGGCGCAGTCAGCGTTCTCTAGCCCAGCTCAGATGCAAAGCGTCCAGCAGCAGCAGCAGGCGTTGGGCGGTGTGCGTGGAGGGCAGAGAGACAAGGGGCTTCCTCCTCCGCAGCAAGTGGCGGGGATGGTTCGAACCCTCACTCAAGGTCGCCAGGCGACGAGGATCCACGCTGTCCTGCCTTCTGGGATTCTGCAGGCAGCCCCTGTACCTCCTACCCACCAACAACAACAGCAACAGCAAATGTGCGTGCGGCCGCAGCAACACATCCAGAGGGTGCAAGCGTTGCCAGCTCAAGTGGTGAACCCTGAGGGACAGCAGAGTTCCCTGCAGCTGTCATTGCCGTCGGCTGCCCCTGGTCACAACAATCACCAACAAGAAGCTGTGGAGAAGGTGATCAGGCACAGCGCCCTTCCCCTGGCCCTCCACACCTCCTCCCAGCAGCACCACCGGCCCGGCCCCTCCACTCACCTTGTCCATCAACACCACCCCCAGCCCCACTCCCAGGACCCCGCCGCATTCCTTACCCTGACCAATGTCACCTCGAGCCCCGCCCTCACGCCCAACACCGTTCTCCCCACCGGCGCTCGGACTGGCCTCTCCATCAGTCAAACAGGCCACCACCACCAGCAGCACCACCCGGTCAGCCAAAGTGGACACCACCATCAGGACATTATGATGACCAGTGCCACGGACGTAATCTCCGGGGGCATCTGCGGCTCATTGCAGGCTAGTGCAGGCTCCACTGCTAACTTCACCGCTCTCACCGTCGGCCCCAACTCCTCCTCCTCCTCCTCCTCCTCCTCCTCCCCCTGCCTCACCCAGATTCAAACCACGAACAGCGGGACCAATCTCCTCGCCCTGGCCTCATTGAGTCACCCGTCTTGCTTGCCCAACCTGTCCCCTGCGGCAGTGACCACCATCACCCCCAGCCACAGCCTCCATGCCTCCGTGCCCGCTCTCACCCTCAATCAGGTTAGCTCTCGCCTTTTGTGTACCGTATATCTTCAAAGTGATGCCTAAAGTTGCGTAGTAGCACCTGTGGTGTAGGGGTTACATGCTTTGCTTTCACTCGGGGATTGCGTCCCCCCCCCCCCATCATTTTCGATATTTTCAATATAAAGAAAGGATATTATTTGCATTAGTTTCTGTTTAAGCCACAGTCATCGTGCCTAGTAACTCTTTCTTTTTGCAAATGCTGATTACATCAAATGGACAACCTGTGTGTGCCAGCAACTGGGGACAAATTGGGAGCTCGTAGAAAACCCATAGGCTGTGCAAGATGCTTTTTAAAAGGGTTTTATTCCCAACTTTTGTTCTTGTGGTCCTAGTGGCTCATTGTACCATCACCTGTGATTCGGCACTTTGCTGTTGCACACAGGGGACTCGAGTTTGATTCCCAATTGGGGAGAGCATTTTTTTCAAGTAGGTCAGTCTTTCTGCTGGGATTGTGATGTTTTATTCCACTCAACCCGAGTTGACCCTGACAGGCAGAGTCACAAGCCTGCTTGTAAATGATCTAAATTGTGTGTATGGGGGCATAAAATCACCAAGTTATAAAGAAAAAAAAGGCTCGCTGTAAATTTTAACCCCTGCTACTGGTGACAAGTCTGTCCTTTCTCTTTGTTGTTTCTGCCTGTCGGTTTTGCTCTTTCCTTGCACTGGATAAGCTTTCTATGTATGCCACTGTGCTTTTCTTTGCTGAAACTAAACTAAGCTAAAAATATTTTTACAAATATGTGAAGTAAATTTTCTTCTTTTTTTTTTCTTTGTGAACAGCAGTCTGCGGACTCTCACAGTTTTCAGCTTCACATCCATCAACAACCCCAGCATGGCCAACAGACTGGCTCAGAGAAGCATTCCCTGCCCACCGTGTTAGCTCAGCACTGCCAGCTGGCTTCTGACGTCAAATCTGTGAGTACAGGATTCTTTCCTGAACGTGTTTGGCTGTAGCATCTACTTTTATCCATTCAAACATTTTGTTGTGATTGTGAGAAAGAATAACATCAGCAAGATAGTCAACTGTTCCTACCCTGAAAAGCAACATTTTTCAGTAGGGGGAGGAGGGGGGGTTTAATCTTCCTCAAATTATGTGATCTTTTCTTACTATTTTGATAACTTGAAAACTGTGATAGTGCGCTGAGAACCAATTTTTCTCGGTTACCCTCACCTCAGACGGTCTCCGATCAGGCAGCTCACCAGCTGGAAGAGCCTTTGCAGCGGCAACAGCAACAACAGCAACAGCAGGTGGCCCCAGTGCTCACCCTCCACCTGAAGCCCACCAACAGCAGCTCAGCCGACGGCCCAGGCTTCGTGCTCAGCCTCCAGGGGGCCACTCTTGTACCGTCGCAGGCGACCTCCCAGGTAGGATGCACAGACCATTTGTTTCCCGTGCACAGAATCAGCCTCCATGCATCGAGGGGTGGGGGGAAGACTCTCTTAGGAACGACGCTTTCCTTCAAATAATATACAGATAAGACCTCGCAGCTAAAATGAGAAACTTTCAAGGGATGTCACTCTCTTTACTCAAAAGTTGGTAGTAGCTGAGATATCAACGAAACAAAACATGGCTTTTAGCCACCGTACGAGATATGTTCACAGAGTGCTGGCCGTAGGATTATTGAGGTGTATGAGATATTATGCCAGTCAAGGCGTTTAGGAGATGGATAGGCCCCTGTGCCGGGGGAAATCCCATAAACCAAGGCTGCTCAAGGGAGACAGACCCCACTCTACCTCATATAATTTTTTAATTTATAAGTATTTCCTCCTGAATTTCTGCGTGTACATTCTTCACTGAACCATATTTCTATTGATTTAATTTGGGGGGGATTTCTTGGAGAGATAGATGAAGAAAAGTTGGAGTTAGTAACATGATGCCAAAAACAACACATATTCGAGTGCTGATAAACTGAGACCAAAAAAGGGCAATACATGTTGTGTGAGTGTCTGTAGGTAAAGAGGAAATGACAAGAGGCTTTTCCTACCTTATACAAGGCTCGTACAATCCATAAGCCCATCTGTGTTTACTGCCAATAAATCATTTTACGGTATGAGTTAAAATCTGAATCTGACGCTTTTAAATGGGAAAATGGTGGTAAACATAAAGATTTTTAGCAGTAACTTCCCTTGTAATTGGTATCAAAGCAACCTATGTCATAGTCCCGTGAATTCTACGGGCCTTAGGCACGGCGCTACAGGGTTCGGACCTGTAAATTCTATGGGCGCAGCGAAGAGGTTAAAAGACAGGACAGTCAGTCAAAAAAATGAAAAGGGGTGTGTCAGTAAGATTATTTTCCCCTGTACTGATATATATTATAGTTGTGCAGTATGTGTATTAGAACCTGTCTTGTATTTGTTCCTGCAGGTGAGCAATTCAGGCACAACGAATTTCAGTGGCACAGCCAACAACAATGCTCAGTCGTTCAGCCTCAGTAACAACAACAACCACAATAACAACAACAACAGCCACAACAACATTGACAGCGGCCCTGGAGGTCTGGTCCTGGTGGCCAGTCAGAACCCCACGGGGGCGCTGGTGCTCAACCGAATCTCAGGCAACCCCCTGGTGGGGCAAGGCCCACAACCTCCACCTCCCCCTCCCCCTCACTCCCAACAGACTTTCGCCAGCTCTGGCTGTCAGCTGGTGGCCCCGGGAGCCCCGCCCAGCTCCATGCCTGCAGCGTTCTCTCAAGCCGTGCCCCACAACCTGGTCTGCTTCTCCTCCTCCGCCTCCAACCTCATCACAGCGCCTCAGCCTCCCTCGTCGTTCGCCCAAACTGGAGTCGACCCCATGCCCTCTGCCATTGGCTTTGCTCAGCTACCACTGCATACCTCCACCACCTCTGCCATTGACATCTCCCACAGCGCACACCATCACCAGTTACAGCAGCAGCGGCAGCAACAACAGCAGCAGCAATCCCAACAAGCACAGCAACATCTCTTCACAAACATTTTCCCTTCCCCCGAACTGGGCAAAGATTTCTTTCCCCTCAAGACAGAGAGCGGGGCAAGCAAAGATTTCTTTCCCCTTAAGTCAGAGAGCGGGGCGTCATTATACTCCACTTCAAGCGAGCCTGTGTTTGCCATGAACAAACTGGACACTGTGTCAGCAGCCTCCTCTTCACCCCGCTTTGATCCGCTTAGCTCAAGTAAGGACCTCATAGCTTCGGACTCATCCTCCTTTGCTAAAGCTGTCTTCTCATCCTCCATCAGTAGCAGCAGCAGCATCAGCAACTACCACCACCACCAGTCCTCACTCCCAGGACAACCTGGCCCCTCACAGACATCGGTACACCCAGACTTGATGGCAGGACCATCAGGGACTCATTCAGCTATGGTGAGACTACTAGAACACATTTCATTTCCGTTATGTAACAGTTATTACTTGACTTTTCATCGTAAGATTTTTTTTACCGTCAACCCTGTCCATTTTTGTGAGGCACCTTACTAAATGTGGAAAATTGAAGTAATCACGTCTCATAGGGGGAGGGCTGGGTCAACGTTCTCTTAGCTTTTGGTCCACAATAATTGTGCCCCTAGTCCGAAGCAAAATGAGTAATGAATCAAATCCCCCCCCCCTCCTCTCCTTCCCAATATTATTCTTTTAGACACCGAATGATATTGCCTTTTCATTAATATTAAACACTAACTGATTGGCGACTTGAACTTAATGTTTTCCAGGAAGCCGAGAATGGTTCTGAGTGTACTGGGGTCTGCGGAGGGTAATAATTGTTTGTTGTAAAAGTGTAGCACAGAGCTTGTTGTAGAGGGTAGATATGCCTTTTTTAGTGCATTTACTTTTAAGATGCCTTTAGTTTTTGTACCTCATGTGTGTGTGTCCTCAGATGAGCGCCCCCAACACCTGTGATACTCTCAACGGCAGCTTCTCCTCCCTGCCCAGCGCTGATCTCAACCTAGAGGACTTCCTGGACCTCAACGACTTCGACGATGTCCCCGACATGGTGGTCTTGCCTTTCAGCCCGGCAGACATCGCAGACGACCCGCAGCCCTCCCTCCAGCCTGCGACAGACCACCTAGCTGCCGCTGCTGCTTCCGGCAACGACAATCCTGGCGATAGCGCCACGGCTTTGGCGACTAAGGGTCAGGCTCAGGGTACGCCAGTTAGTTGGGGTTTTTTGGGGTTTTTTTTTGGTCCTGTTCTTGTTGTTGCGTGTGGTTGGAGGGCGCCACTGGTACGTGCTACTTCTTTACTTTCCTCTCTGTTGTTTCTGTCTGTCTATCTTACTTTTTCCCCAGTTCTAAATGACCATTGTGTTAATATGCTTCACTTTACCCAGACAAACAAAACAAAACCTGTTACTGTTTTGGGTTTTTTGGGGGTGGGGGAAGTTTTTTTGTTTCATGTTGTTAATGATATGTAATATATATATAATTTTTTTTTTTCAAAATTTTATTTTATTTACCTTTGTCGCATACAGTGACAATGGTGTTACAAAGGTCTTGTTCTGCACTCACCCATGCACACGACAAACGAGGACATAAGTATTACATTATTATTACATGTTTAAACCGCTCCGCATCATAAACGTTCATATATGTAAGTTAGAATTCAAGTGGTTGATTATTGACTTATGTCTCCTCTTACGAGGACCCCTGCCACTGATAGGTCCTTTTTAAAAAAAAAATTCCTCTGTGTTTCTGTTTGCCTGTACTGCTGTCGATAATGACTACCTTTGTAGTGTTCTTGTGCTTCTGCCACTGGTAGGTCCTAGTTTTTTAATGTATAAAAAAAAGCAGGGGGGGGGGGATGAGAAGGGGCCATTTGCACAGATCTTATATAGGTGGCTGTTAGAGCGGGCTAGATTATGTCTATTAATTGAAGTGTACTGTTTTTAATCGTTTGTACTTTATGTTACAGGCAATATGACCCCTTTTGGTTGCATGGACAGTAGCCAGATGTCTCAGGAAGTGCAACAACAGCAGCAGCAGCAGCAGCAACAACAGCAACATCAGCATCCAGTCCACCACCCACAGTTCCAACCCCAGCCTGGCTGTGCCGACCTACCCCCCCTGCAGTTAGGCGGTCCCCCCTCCTCGCCCCTGCACCCCGGGGCCCCCCCGAGACCCCTGTGTAGCTTTGAGACCCCACCCGTGTACATGGAGGGTACGGGGGCCTCCAGTGCTGTTTGTGATAGCAGGACGGCGAGCTACCAGGATGACCCTGAAATCAATTCTGTGATAAAAGACTTCAGTCCCGACTGGGCCTACACCAAGGTGTGTGTGACTTTCTCTGTTGTCTTCATTGTATGTTACTCGGTAATTGGTAGTACTGTCCCGCCGGTTTTGTGCAAAAAAAATTCTGAAGTTATGCAAACTGAGCCCAAAAAATGTGAAATGCGATTCTGTTAATTTTAACAAAGAATGATAAAGGACAAATAATCAGAAATTATGCCAAAAAATGAGAAAATTTTGTAAATTATGCGGGGTGCATAAAACCCTGTGGACAGCTAGTGGTTGGGAGGTGCCTCTTGTAAGACCTTTATTATGTCATGGTGTCGCTCTTCATCGAAACAAACGAAGCAATAATTTGGTTTCTGTGGTTTCCTTACTGCCGTATTAGAGAGGCTGCGACTTTGAATAAATTAGGGTCCCTAATCATTGCTCTTTGCTCATGTTTTTTTGTTTTGTTTTTTGGTCCGCTCTTCTGTCAAGGGCAGAACAGGTGTAAGCCTTTCAGTTTTGCACACCTGTTGGATGTGTTTGAAAGGGTTTTTTTCCGTGGTTCTGTGTCGATTCCCATCTCTCCTCTCTGTGTTGTGCAGGTGGTTGAAGGGCGTAACTGAAAGGTCCCTACTCTTTTTCCTTCCTTCTGTTGTTTCTGCCTGCCTGTCTTGCCTTTGCCCTGCTCTGAATGACCAATATCATGTCTAATGTACTTCTTTTCTCTTTTCTCAAACAAACCTCTCTGTGTGTGGTTTCAGACAAATACCAAAGTTCTGGTGGCCGGCCCGTGGTGCAGGGAGACGTGTAACTACACGTGTGTGTTTGATGGAGAGCATATTCCTGCCACATTGCTGCAGCCGGGATTGCTGCGTTGTTTTACTCAATGTGAGTTCCTTTTGTGTTCTTTTTTTTTTTTTGGCACTCCTCCTGTCATTGTCGTCATTAAATCCAAAGATGTGGGTGGTTGGTGGGTGCTTTTTGTGATTTGCTCCTTCTTTCGTCTCAAACATCTGTCATCCTTATCTCCTCTCCTTATTTTTTGTGTTTGTTACTGTCTAGTAACAACTCTAATCTTTGGCACTCGTATGACTTTATTGTGTTGCAATTTTTATTGAGTTTAGTTATAAATTCACAGCGACATGTCAGCCAGTCTCTCACCGTCCATTTACATATTAATTTCCAAAAAATAAATTTATTCCGTTTATTCAGACGATTCAGAGTAACATGAGCATTTTTTCTCTGTAGTAGGGCCTGTAATCTTCAGCGCGTATATGACCTATTTGTGTTGCAAGTGCCATTTATCTCTTACTTAAATATATTATTAAAAATATATCTCTATCATGGCATAGATAAACCAGTTATTTATTGTTTCTGTCTTTGTTTTAAAAAGATATATCACTTTCATTGCATAAAACAAACTAATTATTTGTGTTTTCTCTATCAGACCACAGCCCTGGCTATGCGACCTTGCAGGTGGCCCGCGACGGCATTGTGGTTTCGAACTGCGAGGTGTTCGAGTTCTGTGACCGGGAAAGTTCCAACTCGAACACGTCCCACCCGGAGTGGTTCGCCATCGACAGTGAGTCACCAGTCGGGGGCATTAAAACATCTACATTTTGATTTTGATTTAGAAAGTTCAATTGTATTTGCATTAATTGTTGAGGTACAAATTTAGACAGTGCAAAAAAGTTTTGATAAATTTTGACAAACATTTGAAAGTAGTGCTCGGAAAGTTTCAGACCTCCTCTTCAACAGTTTTTTCAGCTGGGGAAACTTAAGACAATTTAGTACATTTTCCATCAGGGCTCTCATGTTGGTGTAATGTAGTCTTTGTACTGTAGTGTACTGCCTTCTCTCTCACTCCCTCTCTGTCTGTCACTGCTTTTTCTCTTTCTGGGCCTGTATTCATCTCTCTCTCTCGCTTACTCACTCTCTCTCTCTCACTCACTCACTCACTTTCTCTCTCTCCCGGTGCCCTCCACAGCTCATCAACTCAAGCTCCTGTTGGTGGAGAGGATTGACCAGCTCCGGCGTCGGTTTGCCCACCTGCAGACAGCTTTTCAGGTGAGAATAATGAGACACTTCTGGAAAGTTGTGACTTTTGAGGTCTCCCCTATTGGATAGGGCTATACGACTATAAACGGACTCGTGAAAACATTGTTTCAAGTGAGATTACCATATTGAGAAGAAAAAAAATTCAGAGAATTGTGGCTTTTGACAAATTTTAATATAATCACTTGGCTATATTTTTCTTTCTGTTGTTACAGTAGATGTAATCTTAACAATTGAAAGATGGGGAACAGTATGTATTTAAACAATATTGCCATTTTGATTCCTAAATTTCGACAAATTTGAAACTTTAGACACTTTTGCTTCCAAGGGGCTGAATAAATCATTGAATGTGATGCTATTTATGTCGATCTTCCAGGACCCAATCTCGGATGACCTTGAGAGCCTGGAGTCGAGTCTGGTGCACCAGGTACAGGCCATGTCCAGCCAGCCGTGGTGTCAGGGTCAGCTGTACCCGAAGGCCGGCCAGCACAACTTGACCTTGTTGCACCTTGCCGCGGGGTTGGGGCTGGCCAAGCTTATCTCTTGTCTCATCAAGTGGAGGTACAGTGCTGCTCTGATCCTTGTGTGTCTGTATTTTTTGTTTTGTTGATTGCTGCTTGTGTGTCTGCCCTTTGTTTTGTTCTTTGTTTCTTGTGTGTCTGCCTTTTGTTTTGTTCTTTGTTTCTTGTGTGTCTGCCTTTTGTTTTGTTCTTTGTTTCTTGTGTGTCTGCCTTTTGTTTTGTTCATTGTTTCTTGTGTGTCTACCCTTTGTTTTGTTCTTTGTTTCTTGTGTGTCTGCCCTTTGTTTTGTTGATTGCTGCTTGTGTGTCCGTCCTTTGTTGATAGCTACTTGTTT